TTAAGAATTCATTATCGATCATGGGTGTCTGTAATCGATCATGACCTTCCATTGAACAATTGAAACTTTTCATTTTAAAGTTACAATTTTATAATAAAAAGTGATAACCAAAAATATGGTATCGATTAATTAGCATGGCACCTAGAAATAAAAAGGTTGACCTCTTGTCCAAACTCTCCTATGACACATCCCTGGGTGTTCCCGTATCACCACCTCAAACTCTGGCTCCTCCTCTGATTGCCAACGAGTCAGAACCAGAATTTCCTTGTTCAAGCACATGTTGCAGCTCATTGCCGACTCAAATCTACAATGAAAGCTAAACAAAGATGGAATTAGAAACTCCAGGTTGAGACTCAAGAGTTGATGATTTGACCCTACAACTTACTCCACGATCATTTGTAATAGTCCCTCCAAAACCTCCTGCTTCCAAGGTTTCTATTGTGCTACTAAGAATTCAATGTATCTATCTGCAGTTACCTGCAGGAGAAAAAGCCAACTAAGCAATTGAATTTTCTTAACAGGAGAAAGAAATTCAAAAGAAAGAGAACACATTCTTCACATAGATGAATACGGTCCGGCTTGCCTCTCCTTTGACTATATTCCTGTTCCATACAACCACATGAACGGCAAACAATGTCACATGAAACCTTCAAAATGGTGAAGCACCCAGTCGGACATGAGTCAACGTAGGCACAGCCCTATGATCACAGGATGTCTCCACTACGTCTCCATTTCAACAAAAACCTAGCAACAAGCCTAACAAAGGGAAACGGAATAACTTTTCTAAACTTCCTATGGACGTATGTTCTCACTCTGCTTTAACACTTGGACATCATGGAATGCATTCAAGTCTAACATGGTAGTGTAAGGATTTCTTATTTCATTCTATGTGACGTGAAGAAACCTTTGACACTTTGATGAAACAACTCAGCCAGACCTCCATATCTTTTACTTTTGAAATTAGATAAATATGGCAATCACCATGCATTGATGCACCCACACTCGACGGGAATGCAAATATACCACCAAAGTCCATTAATATAGGTAGCATTGTTACAAACGTGAAAATCAATGAGTCATGCCCTAAAAGGGATTTCCCTAATCCTAGCAAGTAATAAAACCCATAAATGCCATATTGAAGAATAGTAAGGAGGAGGAAGGAGGGGGGGGGCAATTTAAAAATTAAAGAAGAAAGAAGACAGTTAATAAGGAAGATACATATGTAGATAAAATTAACATTTTCAGTGAAGGAAGAGTGAGAAACAGCTTTAAACACTAATGGACACAATTCAACAGTAGTATTATTCTAATATCACTGTCTAAGTCTGGCTTTAAGTTGGCTGCATTGATTCGATTCGTACACAGAACAATATAATGATTACACCCCCCCCCCCTCCCCCCCCCCCCCCCCCCAC